AATGTTTCCTACGTCTATTGCCACCTCAGTGACATCTCAGCTAATGAAAACCAACATTCCCTAACTTTTGATGTATGCCAGATTCACTTGGGGAGCTTGAAAAAATACCAATGCCTAGTTCCTAGCCTCCAGATTTCATTTAACTGCTACTAGGTGAGATTGGACAGTGGGGGTTTTTAACACGTTGCCGCACACTTAAACTGACCACCGTGCTTAAAAACATATTTTTTTTGCAACGTGTTAGCTTCCCAGGTGACCTATTTGAAAACCACTTAGCTAGACAGTCACCTAGTCCAGAATCTCTGGGTCATTCCCACCTTCACTGTCTCTCACATCCTCCTCAAAATGTCTTTCCTATAAGCCACCTCTTTTCTGCTCCCAAGAAATGATGCTTGTAATGTCTCTCCTCAAATGTAGTTGTTCTAAAGATGTGTCCCCATGTCTAACTTCTACCTGGAGCTTTTCTCCTCAACACTGCCAGAGATCTCTTTATAATACACAACTACGTGACTCACTGTATCATTCTCCTGCTTAGAAACAGTGAAGTCCAAACTCCTAAACATGCAATGGAAAACTTTCACAACTGCACCCCTATCTCCTTTTCCCTATCTGGCCCCCAAACGCCCAGATTATACTCTGCCATGCAACGCTATCAGATTACTCAATCATTTGTTCAGAGGAACCTTTTTCAGGCCCTCATTTCATTTTTATGGATGTTCAAGCTACACCTTTTCTATTTCCCACCTTGTCCCCTAACAAAAACCCAGCCATGCTTCAAAGTTCACCACAAAAAAATGTCACCACTCTATGAAGTTGCTCAATGTTTCCCTCCCTCTTCTTTGCATCCATGTAATAACAGCTAAAATGTATCTAATGCTAAGAGACACACATATATTGTTATCAGCTGTTATCCAGTTGCCTCACATTCATGGTGAGGCCATGTACGATGGGGTTTGACCATTCTCATTCATAAGGTTTTCACGGGCTGATTTTTTAAGTGTTATCACCAGGTCTTTCATCTTTGTCTTAATCAGGAAGCTCCACTGAAACCTGTTTAATATCATAACAACATGGAAGCCACCTCTGGCAGATGAGCGCACACAACACCTGAGAAGAACTGGCCAGCAAGCAAGCCCAGGTCACCTGCATGGGAGGTGAGAATTCTACTACTGAACCAGCACTCTTGTTTCCTCTCACAGAGGAAACCCAAAATCACCCCTCGACTGTCAAGTCAATATCTCCAGCAACTCTTCAGGAAGCCATTACACCCCAGCACTTAAATGCCTTTGCCAAGGTCACCACCCTGTAAGCAGTCGTTCGGATGAGCACTTTGAGCTTCTCTTCTACTACACATGCAACTTTGTATTAGCATTGAAACAGAAGGATCTTGAGAACAGAGCCACTCCATCCCATGACCTCAGTATTACAAATTGGATGTTGCTGTTTTTATGTGCTATTTAGTCGCCTGCAACTTATAGAGACCCTATGTACAACAAACCCTGCTCTATCCCATAGCAATCTTACTGTCTTTGACATACCTACCCCCATTACCCCAGTCACTGAATCAATCCATCTCATCGAGGGTCTTCCTCTCCTGCACTGTCCCTCCACCCACCCCCCCTCCAAGCATAATGTCTCTCTCTAATGAGTGGTCCCTCGTTGCAACACACCCAACATATATCAGACAAAACTTCAGAATCCTTGTCTCCAAGGGCAGCCTGGTTTCACCCTCTCCAGGACAAACCTGTTCTCTTAGCAGTCCATGGTATATTCAACACTCTTCTCCAGCACCACAGCTCAAAGGCATCAATTCTCTTTCTATCATCCCTAGTCACTGTCTTGCTCTCTGACACATATCAAGTGATTGCAAAGACCATGGCCTGTATCAGGAGCACTTTGGTCTCCAGACTGACATCGTTGCTCTTTAGTATTTTGGAGACTTTCCCAACACAATACGTCTTTTCATTTCCTGGCTGTTGGTGCCAAAAGTGTTGATTGTGGCGCCAAGCAAACTAAAGCTGTTTACAATCTCCATCTCTTCACCATCCATCACGATGCTGCCAATTGGCCCAGTGGTGAGAATCTTTGTTTTCTTGATGTTGAGCTTCAATCCATATTGAAAGCTTCAGTCCTTGACATTGTGCAGCAAGTGCTTCAGGTCCTCCTCAGTTTCAACAAGCAGGGCTGTGTCATCTACATACTAAATGAATGATGTCACTTTGAGGACTAAGGTGCATCTGATTCAGGCCCTAGTATTTTCAATCACTTGCTATGTATCCAAGAGCTAGGCAATGAATAAGGAGGACAAAAGAAGAATTGATGCCTTTGAGTTGTGATGTTAGAGAAAGCACCGAAGGGCCTATGGACTGCTGACAGAACAAACAGGCATGAACTGGGAAAAGTGAAGCTTGGATGAAAGAGGAAAGAAAGGATGGCGCAGCTTTGATTTACATACTTTGGGCATGTTGTTAGGAGAGGCTATTCCCTGGAAAGGAACATCATGCTTGGAAAGGCAGAGAGTCAACAAAAGAGAACACTCCCAACGAGATGGACTGACAGTGACTACAGCAATGGGCTCAAGGGTGTTAGAGATGATGAGGATGGTGCATGAAGGCAGGGTTCAGATCATTTGTTCATAGAGTCACTAGGATTATGGATTTGATGACACCTAACAACAAATGAATGAATAAATGGGCAGAAGATAGTAACTTTTCCAGTGATCTCATGTTCTTTAATTCAAATACTACTCTGGTCAGATTTTTAACAATTTATCAGTTTTTTGGTGTTTTTTTTTTAAATGTTTAACACGCTAACTCACTATTATACCCTTGAAAGTAGAGTTTTTCATTACTTGATGGGCTCTTGAGTTTTGGTTGCAAATAAAATTCAGGATAGGTAACAGCTGGTGCCTTAAAATGCTGAGTCATAAAAATGCGACGAAGTGGGAAAATTAGAAAGCTTTTTAAAAAGAATTAAACACATCTCTTGCTTGGGTTTATCTCCTGTATCACATATATAGAGTCCCAAGCAGAAAAGCAAGGGGACCACTCTGAAATGCCTATAAAAATCTTCCTTCTATGACCTGCTCTGTACCACTTCATTTTTCCAACAGCATCTCCTTTGCAAATCAAGCTCAAAAGAGGAGCAAGTAGTGGAAAGAGGAGGAAAAAACACACAACCAAACTCTTAAGAGGTAAGAAATGTTTGGTTTTCACAAGAAACTGGAGGAACGGGATGAAATCATGCATCCAGCAAGCAGAGAAATAATCACCAGGGTGCTCACCAAAAAAGGCCAGTGATTCAAATCCACTAGCTACTCTTTCTGGATGAAATATAAAGCAGGTGGCTTCATTAAAGGTTTGCAAACTTGGAATCGCTAAGAATTCCTATTCTACTGGCTCTCTGTTAGTCAAAATCGAGAGCAGCAGGGGTTTTTAAGCAAGAGTTGGCATGTATCTCTTCAGTATAAATCCGATTAGTGAACAAAAGCCAAGATAAGCAAAGCAGGTCGTGATTGAGATTCGTTTCAGCCTGCAGGAAAGGAAGGAGTTGTGGCTCTGAAGGAGAAAGATGAGGCAGTAAGCTTGGGTAAAGATTTACTTCCCCAACAATGAATGAATATTGTTGTTGTTATGTGTGCCGTCGAGTCATAGCGACCCTATGTACAACAGCCCTAAACCC